GGTAAGGGAAAGTTTCCGTCAGGTGGACGCTTTTTACCTTACAACACGAAGTCTCTTCTCCAAGGAGGACTAGATAGAGGCCTGCAAGCCGAGTTGGCACAGAGCGTAGGGACGTGCAACTGCCAGACATTGAACTAAATGATCAATCTAATTCCCTCTGATCCTGAGACCAGTTTTGCATAAAAGACTCTGATGTGTCCAACAGACAGAATACACACAGATTCCCATACTTCGGAGTTGTTGAAGGCATCCTCTAAGAGGGCCTCTATGATCCCAGGTGCCGTGAAAATCTCTCGTTTTGAGGGTAGACTGGATTTACTACCTGTCTCTAGAAAACAGAATACAGTGGAAGTGTTGAAATGTCACTTGCAATATTAAGTTGAAGAAACCCTAAGACTTCTATCTTGGGTAACCGCTCTCATTTTCTCTCAGAGAAGCCAGGTGTCAGGTTGTAAGGTGCCCCGTGGAGAGGTCCACAAGGCAAAAGAGCGAGCGTTCTTGCCAAGAGCTAGCAAGGAACTGATGCACTCAGTCCAGTAGCCCATGAGAAACAGAATGCAGTCAAAACCCACAGGTGCAAGATTAGGAGCGATCCTCCTCACCCGGGGCTTCAGATGAGAGGGTGGCCCTGGCAACAGCCTGCTCCAGCCTCACAAGACTGTGATGGTCACTGCATCTTTAGAAGGAGGTAACTAAGAGAGGTCGTTTCATCTGTAGTTCACACCTTGAACCTGTGCTTCTGGTCAGTGGCCTCTTTTAAACATATAACTATCAAATTTAAAGCTCTTCTTGTGACAAGCACATTTCTACTTCTATATCTCAGTTGGTTGGAAGGAGGAGGAGGATGCTATAGACCATGGCTTAACCTCAGGGGATGTACGCTCATCTGGAGTTATTCCCATTGAGAACACTAGCTGCCAGCTTTCATGTGCCCTGGCCACAGGGATAAGCCATTAAAAGTACCAACCACGCTACCACCTGAAATGAATCATGACTCTGGAGTACAGATGGGGAGGAAGGTCATGCCTGTGCTTTGGCAGTGACTCTAATGATCACCATCATTCCACTCAAGCCCCTGAATGTGGAATGCTTTTGTTCCCTCAATCTATCTCAAGGTATGCTGTATAATACACATTCCCCTCCTTCTTCACATTTCTTAACACTTGTTTGTTGTCTTTCTTCCTAGATGCCACCTCCTCTGCGGTGTGCTTCCTGACACGTAGGCCAAGTCTGAGTCAAGTGCTCATCACACGATCTCCAACAATGCCCTGTCCTTCCCCCATTGCTGCATTTCTTGTGTTGTTTTTATAGCTGCCTGGTTATGTATCTTTTCCCCTACTAGATTTAAGCTGCACATATCTTGTCTTTCCAGGTCACTGTTGCATCCCCAATGCTTAGCATGGACTCTGGCACTTAATAAATGAATAGTACCTGTTCAACTTTAGCCAGAGAAATCAGTCAAGAGAAAGAAACAAAAAAGATATGTGTATAAATACCAGATTTTCTTTATACATTTATCTATTGATGAAAATAGGCTGCTTCCAAAATTTAGCTATGACTGGTTGTGCTGCTATAAACATGGGTATGCATGTAAAGGAAAGAAATAAGTCAAATTATTTGTATTTCCATATGATCTTTTACATGGAAGATCCAAAACATTCCACCAAAAGACTCCTAGAATTAATAACTAAATTCAGCAATGTAGCAGGATACAAAATCAACAAGTAAAAATCAGTAGCATTCCTGTACAACAATAATGAGTTCACCAAGAAATATATTAGGAAAACAATGCCATTCACAGTAGCATCAAGAAAAATTAAATACTTAGGAATCAACCTAATCAAGGAGGTGAAAGATTCCAACAATGAAAACTACTCCAAAGAAGTAGATCAAAGAAGGCACCAGAGAATGCAAAGATGCCCCCTGTTCCAGGATAAGCAGACCCAGTATTGTCAAAGTGGCCACACTTCCAAAACACATTCACACACACTCATGCGCACGCGCACACACACATACACAGCAATTTTGATCAAAATACCAACAGCACTCCTCACAGAACTATAGAAAATAATTTTCAAATTCATATGAAATGGGAAGAGACCTAGATTGCAAAAGCAATTCTTGGTAACAAGAACAAAGCAGGAGGCATCACAATCTCAGATTTCAAGTTACCTTACAAAGCTACCATAATAAAAACAGTATGACACTGGCACAAAAACAGACATGTAGATCAATATAACAGAATAGAAGTTGCAGAAATAAGCCCAAGTATATTGAGTCATCTGATCTTTGACAAAGGGGTCAAAAACCTACAGTAGAGGAAAGGCAGCTTCTTTAACAAATGGTGGTGGGAAAAGAGGCTACCAACATGTAGAAGAATGAATCTAGATCCAAATCTCTCACCATGTACTAAAATAAAATAAAAATGGATCAATGATCTAAATATTGAAACAGAAACATTTGACCTGCTGGAAGATAAAATAGGTAAAACTTGAAGATACAAGTGTAGCCAAAGACTTTTTTAAATAGAACTCCAATTGCACAAGAACGTTAGGAATCTACAAATTGGATCATATCAAAAAGCTTCTTCACAGCAAAGAAAACAACCAACATAGTGCAGAGACAACCTACAGAATAGAAAAAAATTTCCAACTAAAGCTCAAGCAGAAGTCCAATATCTAAAATATATAAAGAACTCAAAAACATTAACAATAAAAGACCCAGTTAAAAATGGGCAACTGAAATAAATACACACTTCTCAGAAGAAATACAAATGGCTAATAACTGCCTATTAGAGAAAGGCAAATTAAAACAATACTAAAATTCCGTCTTACTCCAGAAAGAATGGCTAACATCAAGAAATCAAATAATAACAAGTGCTGGTAAAGATACAGGGGAAAAGGAGCCCTTCTACATCATTGATGGGGATGTACATATGTACAACCACTATGGAAATCAGTATGAATATTCCTCAAAAAACTAAAACTAGAAGATCCATTTGACCCAGCTGTTCCCCTTCTAGGTATCTTCCTGTAAGAGTTAAAGACATATATTACAGTGATACATTGCATACCCACATTTATAGCAGCACAACTCATAATAGCTAAATCTTGGAAGTGGCCTATATATCCATCAATAGATAAATGTGTAAAGAAAATGTGGTATTCATACACAATGGAGTATTACTCTGCTATAAAGAAGAATAAATTTGAGTAATTTGTAAGAAAATGCATGCACCTTGAGACCATAATATTAAGTGAAATAAGTCAGACACAAAAATCTTAAATATTGCATGATTTCTCTTATATGAGAAACCCAAAGTATATATAAATTAAGGAGCAAAATAAGGCAGATGTGATGGTGCATGACTGTAAACCCAAACCTTGAGAGGTTGAGGCAGGAGGATCAGTTCTAGTTGATGGCCAGTCTGGACTGCATAGTGAGTTCAAGGCCAGTCTGAAATACATAGTGTGATCATATCTAAAAAAAAAATTAAAGAACAAAATAAAAGATAGAGAATAAGAAACAGGCAGATAGATGTTTTACAAATAGGAAGAGGACCAAAAGATTGGGGGGGGGACATAAAAAGAATTAAAATATGCTATGTACATATATCAACTTCCCATGATGAATGTAATCATTATGTACTGCAAACATGTATTAATGAAAATTTAAAATAATTGAATACCAAATATTTGTAAATGAATGAATGAATTCTTTGTATTCTTCAAGCCAGAAGTCTGCTTCCAGAACTCACCCAAGCATCTTACTATGGAAACTTCAGAGAGCCCCCTGGATGAAGAATACAGGCAGGAGACGGAGGCTGGAAGTCGAAAGGACATAACAGGAGGTGTTCAAGAACGAAGCAGCTGTCCAGGTAAGGAAAGCGGTCTGACACACTTTGGGTACAAATCACTGCTGAATTCCAGTGAAGGTGTTGTTTGGCTTAAATTATCTAGAAAACTCTTCATTCTGCTTTGATCCATAAGCTCTTTTACCTTCCTTGCAATTGAGTAGTTGGTAATATTTTCACTCCCATCAGAGAACATGAACGTATTCCAAGGCAATGACCTTTCCCCATCCTTTTAATTCTATGTTATTCTTTCTAGTTCCAGTTGTTCCCCTGGGTTAAGGCCTTCGGAACTCTTTCAGAGCTACATTCTCTTTGGACTAGCCTTACTATTAAACCTTGGTGAGTTTCAATGTCTGGTATTCACTTTGCACATTATTCTGGGTTTGAGTATGTTGAAGCCAAACTTTTAAAATATTATAGAAGGAAAGAGCTTAAAATAGTTTCAGAAAAATTCTCATTGATGTCTTAAATCTCCCATCTTTTGCAATTTATCCTAAACCACACGACTACACAAAATAGCCTCCAGAAGACTTGCCAACTTCTTGACTCTCTCTATAGAAAGAAACCACTTTGAACAAAAGTGGGTTAAAAATTCTAGTTAAAGGACAGGTAGATCTAATCAATAAGGATGCTAATAGGATGGATACCACCTATATCAACTAGCTTTAGCTGTGTAACAAATCACTCCCAAACACAGAGCCTTAAAGCAACAACCTTCGATTTAGGTCCAAAGCCATGGAGTTGGCTAGGTGGTCTGCTCTGAGCTGGATCAGTGCCCTTTGCTGCTGGTCATTTTCATGCCTCTGTAGTCAGCAGAGAGTGGGCTGGTGGCTGAGTGACCTGGAGTGGTCTTTCTCACAGGTCTGGCAGTTGTCAGGCTGCCAATAGGAGCCCCCGGGTTCTCCTCCACTTGGCTTCTCATTGGTAAGTTAGCCAGGCTCATTTGCATGCCGGGCTCCAGGTTCCAAGCCCAACAAAGACGCTCCCTGAGCGAGCAGTCTTCACTTTTCTTTGCTTGCTCCTCATTGGCTGATGCCCCCACCCATCAAGGGGTGAAGATTCAAGGAGTAAAGAAACAGACTCTACCTCTTAATGAACATCAGTAACATTATAAGGGAGTTGATGTAGAGAGGGATAGGGCTGTGTCATTTTTTCAGTCTGTCCTAATGTCATCTCCATACAACTTTCCTTGTTCAATCCTCATAGCAGCTCATTTCCATTTTATGGACGAAGACACAAAGAAGGGGAGAAGCGATGTACAGCTCCCATGGTTGCACCACTCTGAAGTGGCAGAGTTGGGGTTGGGACTCGGTTCTGCTCTGCAGCCTTCATTTCTAATCATCCTTCTTTGTGCTTAACCCAAGTACTGGCTGGTTGTTAACAGGTTGCTAATCTAAATTCAAGGCTTAAAAATAATTTTTAAAAAATTTATGCACATAGGCAGCAGCCTCAGTCTGTGTTTATCAAATATTTTCCAAATATCTTGCAAAGATTATTTTCATTACCAGTTCAATAAAACCTCAAACCCCAAATGTGGTTATTCAGGCTCTCTTCTCCTGAACTTTCAGGTCCCGAGGCTCTTTATGGTAATGCAACCTCAATTCCTTCAACTCCTCGGTGACATTCCTTCCCACTTAGGAAACGGAAGGATCCTCTTTTTGGAAGCCATGAAGTTCTGCTGCAGGTTCCACTCCAGGAAGAAGTAGACTCTGAACCCCGAGGCTTGTTCCCAGGCCCAGCCCCGCCGCCGTCCACACCCCAGGGAAGTGAGGGCCACGTGCCTCCAGGTTGACAGTCCAGTTGTCACCTAGAAAAGAACGGACCATGTGTGTTCTAGGAGCCACACTGAAAATGAAAGCACAGCCCTGAGAGCGGGGCCTCAGAGTCCAACCCTCCCCAGGCCTTGCAAAGGTAGACTCTACATTGCTTATTTCTTTTTCTTTTTTTTCTTTTGGTATCGGGGATCGAACTCGGGACCTTGAGCTTTCAAGGCAGGCGCCAGAACCACTGAGCTAAATCCCCGACCCACATTTCTTATTTCTGCTCCTCCTCTGCTCCTCCCTTGGCCTTTCTCACTGGCCACACTGGGCTGCTCTCTCACCCCACCCTCTCCCTTGATTTTCTCCTCTTCCACTTCCATTTCTTTTTTTGCAAACTTCTTTCCCTCTCCTCCCCACCTCTCTCTTTGGCTGAAGAATGCAATTCACCAATGGAAATGCTCCCCAAAGATGCCTTCGGCTACAGTTTGAAGAGATGGAGGACTCATAAGGTGAATTAAATGCACTTGACGAATCCAGTAATCGTTCATTTTGAGAGACTAGAAACACATGTTTTTTTTTACTTACATCTATTCTAATTCTACTCTGAACTCTCCCATTCAGTAGAATGAATTTATCTTCATTTGACAATTTTATGACTCAAGTCACCCAGCTCTGTCCATTTATCTGATTTAAAATGCAACCGAGGGACCAGACTGCTTTAACAGAAATCCAAGCAGGGCTGGCAGTGTTTGCCATCAACATAGATTTTTTTTTTATAATGTGTGAGTTTTTCAGTGTAGCTATCAGGGCCTTCGGGTGAATTTCATCTCTTGAAGGACCATTATTCAGCAATAGCAAATGATTTAGTAATGGGAACAAGTGCTTGGTTTTTTTCTTTTTATAAGATTTATTAAAGCTCCTCAGTATTGTTTTTATAAAACCCAGCCCTTAGAGTGGCTGACCTTAAGGGTGTGTTTATCTAAGCTTTATTCCCCAACCCGTTGACCAACATGATAAATAATTTATTTAATGCTTCCTTAAATATTATTTTGTTTGATTTAAACCCAAGTAGAAACCTCTTCTCCCTAAAAGGAACACTGTCTCATTTTTGTATACAATGGAAATATTTGGGAACAAATAAGAGAAATATAATCTTTTTCACAAATTTTGGGAACACTGATTAACCTAGGGGCTACAAAATAAATGTTGTGACGTTTGAGTGTTAAATTAGAAGCTGGGAAATTTGGTTGATGGTTATGCACTTATTTTGAGCATTTCCTTATATTGGTGGTAAAATAAATGTCCACAAATAAACACGGTAAGTAGGGCGCAAAGGGATTTCAATAGGAAAATTCTCCCGCCACACAAACCATGCAAGAGCAACCACACAGGCTATATTCAGGTTGACAAGTCTTTTTCCAGAGAGTTTGGTAAACCTCAAGCTTAGCTACAAGGGAAGGCCTTCAGGAGCATTGCTGAGAGTACCCTCCCTTCCTCTGCAATCCTGGATGGAGGAATAACACATTCCCTACCCCTGGGTCACAGATACAGTCCAGCCAATCAGACCTCACTCTCTGGGAGCCTGTGATTGGTCAAGCCACCCTTGTGGCTCAGCCCGAAACCAATCATAATTGTTTTCAATTACATATGCAGCAGAAGGAGAAGGGCCCCTTTCTTGAAGTCATAGAACTAGCAGCAAATCAGGGGCTGCCCAGGAAGCAGCCTGACTGCAGAACAGAGGCAGACTTGAGCGATAGCAACTAAAAGATTTCTGACAGCCCTGCATAAAACCCTGGATCCAGCCATGCCTGACCATTAATTCCCCTTGTTGTTTAAACTGTCTAAAATCAGTGTCAGCAAGTTACCTCTGATAGCCAAGAGTCCTAACCAATCCAGTGCGTTCAGGAGGAGGCACAAGCAGATCTCAGGGACGTTTATGCACTCCACCCCACCCCCAGCTTTCTGCTGTAACTTGGATATATTTCTGTTTTAAATCCTAACTTCAGAGCTGCATATATGTCTCTTTGCCCCTCTTTCCAGAGGCAAATTCCCTGTAAGAACAGGAAGTAGGATGCCTGCAGAGTCTGTTGCAATGAGTGTCATGATCATACCTAGCCTAAGCCAATTCCTTAGAAGCATTCTTGTTGATTTCTGAGCATATCAATGCATTAACATTGAATCTGACTATTGTCTCAATGACCTGGGAATTCTTACATTTTAAGTATAATTTTGAAAATAGTCTGCAAAGGCTCATATTGGGTCCAGATGGAGACATACCTGACACTTTAAAAATGAGGTGTTGTGCATTGTGCTGAGCCCTTTACATGTGTAATTTCATTGTCTCCCCCAAACCCTGTATGGCAGTACAGTTATTAATCCATCTCACAGCTAAGGAAGAGATACTCAGAAGGGCTCCAGAATTTGTTCAAGGTTACACAGTGAATCAGTTATGGAGGCTGAATGAAATTCTCAGCCTAGGGAATTCTATCCCTCCTAAACTCTGGCCACCAAGTAGAGAAAGGAAAAAGCACAAAGGTGACCCCCAAGAGAACAGGCCACCCTACAAGACTCACAGGGACCATTAAGAGTCACTAGGAAGCAAAGAGCATTGAAATCGGAGTTAGATTGGCTGGCATCCTAGTTCTGCATTTCCTTCTTTTGTGCTCATGGACACATTTATTTAACCCTTTAAGCCTCAGTGAAGACTAATAACACCACAGTCAAGAGTTTCCAAGTATAGCCGCCAATAATTCCTCTCCCCACAAACCTGAAGGATACTCTTTGCATCAAGAGCAGGAGTCTATTTCCCGTTTCTGGAATCTTGGCTGGTCTTGGGCCTTGTCTGTGCCAACAGAATGGGGAGAAAATATGGTCTTAAACTTCAGAGCCCAGGCTCTGAGCTTCTGCTCCTCTCTCTTCTGCTCAGCCCCTGGGCTTTAAAGTCCACTTAGACTGAAGAATGATTAGAGGCTCATTGGAATGCTCAAGGCCTGACTAGGCTCCCAACTAAATGTGGCCTCGTGACAAACTCTAAGCAAGACCAGCAGAAGAACCTGCCCAGCGGAACCCTAGCCAAGCCACAGAGTTGTAAGAAATAATAAATATTGTTATTTTAAGCCATTACTTTAGGGGATGATTTGTTTTGTGGCAATAAACCTACTTACTTTGCTGAGTTGTTGGGAAGATTAAGCAGGCTAATGTACTTAAAAGCAGGAACACCTGGGACAGAGTCTGACACTCATGTTCTGCATGTGCTTACCAGGCAAGTACTTTGTGCCCAACACTGCTGGAGGCCACCGGGACCCTGCGGAGATCAAGACAAAGTCTTTGACCTCTTGAAGCTTACATTGTAAGAAACAGGACAACAAATAATCAAAAGTAGTATAATGTCATATGCTGGTTACTGTGGAGAAGAGGTACTGCCCAGCAATTTTGTGTCATGCGTGCCACTAATTATCCATGGCTCATGCATCCCTGGTTCGTGACTTTAGAAATTCCATGAAAACAAAGCAGGGTAGGAAAGTGGAGACTGGGAGACAGAAGATTTATTTTAGAAACCATGGTCAGAGTGACCCTCTGCTTGTGCGGTGTTTGAGTGGACATTTAAATGCTATGAGGAAGTCAGCCACACTTTCCCAAATACATCCGTGATTCCCAAGCTATTCCAATCACATAGTGTATTTTAATGTTTTCTGTTTTCAATTCATCTATGTGCATTAACTGAGATCTCTCACGGCAGATGGAAGCATTTCTCACTTGGATCCTCTGTGGTATGGGTCGGGGTTGACAGCCGGGAGTTGCTCAGAAAGCTTTGCGCATCATGGGGTGAAGCTTGGGCACTCACTACTCACTGCTGGGGTTAAGGTCCCTGGGCTGAGGAGCTGTGGACCTCGGCAGAAGTTGCCACAGAACACATTCCCATAACTCGTAGGTACCCCACCTGCCAGGGGACCCCCATGCTCAGCCTGAGAAGCCCTGTGCAGCTTCTGCAGCCAGTTGCTGGGATCAGCCATCCTGCTGTCCTACCCAGCTAGGACACTGGAAGGAATGCTCCCCACACTTCCCTCTAGCAGGACCTCCCACCCGCAAGTACCCACTGAGGTACAGGAGTCCTCTGAGGATGGAGGAAACCCAGGCGACAAGAAACCTAAGCGCCTTCTTCTCCCTGAAGCCAGACTGCAGGCTCCAGACTGGACTTGTGAGAAGGAAGCCTGACAGAGCTGGGGTTCTCCCCCATAGGAGGGGCTCTGTCCTTTCCTTCCCACCAGAGCCACTCACGGCCCACGGCAACAAGCGACACACTCATTTACCTCAGGAAAAATACCACCTCTGATTTCAAAGAAAACAGCTTGGCCAATGCCAATGGTGAGCTTCCCCCCCCCCCGCCCCGCCCTTCCCACCGCTCTTGTGTTTAATTCTCCCACAAACCAGAGAGCAATGGGGCGACTCTGTCCTCCTGCCGTGCCACATTCCACAAAGGGGCCGCTGTTATTTGCCACTCGGGGAGAGAAAGCCTGGCCTGGGCCTTCCCCCACGGAGCCCTGTCTCTCTCCCACCTCTCCTCCAGCTGCTCCTGGTTCAAGCCACTGCCTGCCCTGGCTAATAATGCCTTGTCACGCAGTGACAGAATTATGGTCTCACACTGGTTTCACATGTCACAAATAATTGCGCTCATTGCGCATCATATTGAAGTTGTCAGGACTCTCTTACGCCTATAATTTGTGTGAGTTGATCGTACTTTGGTAAATCAGCAGGTCATGACCTGTGCCCTTTAGCCCCAGTGGCTGGCTGAGAACGACCTACAAATCTCGTGACCGGGACAACAGAGAGGGTATGAACTGTTCAATTGCTCGTGTCTATCAGCTGCCATGGACAAAGCCCTGTTCTTCCCTTCTGCCGTGCCTTTAAATGGTCTAACACAGCACCCTGAATCAGCTCCACTTAATTTCTTCACATCTGCTTCCCCCTCACCCTAGATTTTTTAAGTACTTTTGGATATTTCTCTCTCTTTTTTCTCTTTACCACAAGACATTTTGGTGCCAAACCCAAGTGTCTTTCTTCCACGTGTTTTAAATAAAAGCCTCCACAGTCTGTGATGAAGTGAATAGAGCTCACTCTCTATATCCAACCCGCCAGCACCATGTTGGACGCAATGGTTAAATTCTGCTGGCAGCTTTATGAGGTTCTTTGCTAGCACTTTATTGGGTAACACGTTCACAAATAGTGTTCCTGAGCCTTTGTTTTCATTAAGGTACAACATGTACCATCAAGTTGCATTTAATTCACTGCTTTGTATTTTCTACACAGTATCACTGCCAGGGTCCACACTGGAAAGGGTGTAATGAAGCTCAAGCTGCTTGTATTACCATGGATCTTCAACAAATAGCTTTTCTAAAAGTCTGTGCAGAAGCAGCAAGATGCCCAGGTTCCACCAGACTGGTGCTCCTCTGATATGCTAGACAGAGGTTAAGAATAGAAAGGCTTTATGTGGGTTCATCTCCGGGAGACTGCTACAAGCTTGGAGCCCACAAAAGGGCAGACCTCTTCCCTGGTTTAAGAAGAAAAAGGTGGTGTCAGTGTGCACATGGGTCCACACCGGTGGCTTCCCTCCTTTGCCAGGCTTCCACATCCCTACAGAGTAGCACCAGCGGGGTTGCAATTCTGGAAGCAGATGGCAACATCTGACTGCCCATCCTAACAGGCAAGGAAGTGAGGGTGATGTCATTTGCTGCAGAAACAGCTGATGTAAGGGCAGTGGGTGAAATGAAAGCCAAACAAGCCACATACCTGACTCTGTACAACACACATGCATTTAAATTCTAAAGGCATCAGACATCAAGGCATCCTGAGGACACATGAACCAAGGGTGATCAGCAGTATGCACAAATAGTACAGAGTTGCCATGGAGGGCACAGAGTCAAGTTCAACTGTTTTAGTCCCTTTCCCCCTGTTTGGTTCACAGGCACAGACAGACACATGGTGACTCCCAATGCTGGCAGGCATTTCACTTTTGATGCAATTTAAGAACAGCCATCACTAGGTTGGAGCAGGGAATGGGATAGAAGAATGGGTGTGGAGGAAGGAAGCACAGACTATGGGTCACAGTTCTATGCCTTCAAAGAGTCCAATAATAGGCAAGCTCAGTGCAGATGTGAATGGTTTACCTTTCAGCTCTTCTTTGCTGAAAGAATTTAATGGAAAAGACAGGCAGATTGGGGTTAAAATCACAGGATCGCCACTGACTAGCTTAGTGACTCAGGCAAGTTACCTAAACCCTCTGGGTCTGCTTTCTCACCTCTAATGTGCTTGCCACTTGACTATTCTCAGTCCAGGTTCTTTTATTTGGAAGCTAAGTAGCCTGATGGTTAACTTCATCAGAAATCCTGAAGGAATTTGGAAAGATGTTGGGTAGTTTACAAAGCCCACAGCAAGGCTGAAGAGCCAAGCAGGCAGACCTTTGACACCGGTTACAAGGTGACCCCTGGCACCACCACCAGTAGCTGTTTGGGGCCACGCTCCAGAGTTCTGTGCACTTCTGCTTCACTTTCTCCAGATTCAAAGGCCCAGGCAGCACCTCTGACTGGCTGGCTCCAAGCCACATGGTGGCGGTTGCTTTGCTGGAGCACAGGAAGAGAGAACATCCTACAGGGACTTTGGAAGATGCTGACCACGGATGGCATAGTGAGTCTTACCCAAGCATTCTCTCCTTTCTCATTTTTCACATGAGGCCAGCAAGGGGAGGAGTTTCAGCTTTCAGGTTTAATTCAGGACCTCTTTAAGAGTACAGTTTTTTGCTTCCTTTTCACAAAAGGGATGGGAAAACCTGCATCCAAGTAGTTTGATCCACTTGTCCAAAGCCATGTAGCATACAAGCAGCATGGTTTGGAATGAGAACATTTATCTCTCCAATTCCTAATAAATTGTGCCTATATCTACTCCATGGAGTGACCGTGGGAGAATTCAGGGGAAAAGACAAAGTGACAGCTTCCTATAGAAGCAGTGAACACAGGCTAGCAAGTGCAATATCATTTTGGCTTCCAGAGCTGTCACTGGAGAGAAAGAGCTTTTCCAGAAATGCCTTGGCTGGCAAAGCAAGATGGCAGCTTGGTCAAAGGCATGGACAAGCAGAAAAGGGAAATGCATCTGTAAGATTCAGTCACATACTCCATTACTGAGTGGTCCTGTGCTAGGCACCAAGCTAAATGCTTTTGTGGCACTCTTTTGCTTAATATTCAACACAAGCTGATGAGCTGTTATTATTCTCATTTTACAAATGGGGAGATCAAGCCTCCAGAGGTTAAGGGTGTGTGGAATAACATGAACACCTCACTAAAGCCGAGCTCGCAGCTTTGCCTTCAAAGTCCCATGTGTCCACTAATGTTCCTGGCTGGTGGCAGCATATAAATACGACAAGGGAATCCGGGCCACAATATCATGGGTACTTAGGAAGTGCTTGGTTATCTCCTAATCTCCAAACCAGCACTGTTTCAGCCAAGGGATCAAGAGACAAAAAGCTGAGGAATATTTCATGGTCTGGAAACTTTCATTTCCTTTAATATGAAAATGTTCAAAATAAAGTATTAAAGATGTAAAGATTCAGAGGTTGCAGGAGGCCAAGGAAGATTAAGGGATTCTTTCTCCCAAACGAAGTGCATAGTGTATCCATTATGGAGAGTGCCCCATCCCTTCCCCCTTCCTCTCCGCTTAATAGGGAAAATGCTGAAAACTTTGAAGAAATGCTTTCTTTGTTCTTTAAGTTCCATGATTAATTAGGTATAAGCCATGTTTCAAAACGTTTCGTCATTTATTTGTAATTCTCCCTAGAGCATGTACAGTAACTTGGCTCAGAACACACAGATTACATTGCAAATGCTACTCATATGCTGAAACTTTTTATGTTTCCTTCCCTTCCTTTTCTGCTTTCCTCTATGGTACTTGAGGGGAGAACAAAGCTGGGTTTGAACTGGAGGGCGAGCCCTGCTCCGCACAGATTTCCCCACAGTGGGCAGTCTTGTGCCCACACATGGTGGAGACCCCAGTGCTGCTCTGAATCCAGTCTCTGCAGCACTCAGGCAAAGATGTGTGTTTGCCTCAAGTTCATTTCCTTCTCTCCATCTCCCGTCACACTGTTCCCAGGAGGTCCCCAAGTACAAGCTGATGAGCAAAGGAGACTCAAGCTATGGGGTCTAACTCAACTTCTAGAGTTTCATCTCCCTTACCTACAAAATGGGAACAATTAGGGCTTCTGAAATCTACTGGGGCACTTACAGAAGGAAATACACTTTAGCACACTGCCTCATTCAGAATATGTCTCTATGAGTATTGACTATTATTTTCCACTTGGTCCAACTCCCAGCTACACACACACACACACACACACACGTGTGCGCACACACTCCTGGGTTGTGTGGTTTAGGGCAGTGCTTGGAGTGCTGACTTTGAATCTGTCCACACAAATGGGTGCAGTCAGACAAGTTCCCAAGTACAAGCATCTCCTCTCTCTCTCTCTCTCTCACCGATGGGTATATTTGCAGAAGATACAGTGGACCCTTGAATTACAAACTCAATTCATTTATGAGGGCTGGTTGTAACTCAAGCTGGTCAACTGAAGCCTCAGGCTCCTCTGCACAGCCTTCAAAGTCTCTCCTGTATACAGGCAGATCTCAGTGCCTTAGAGAGACACTGGCCCAGGATTTCTCAATTAACTCCACACAGGAAGGGATGTTGTAATGTGCCTCCCAGAACTCTTTAAACTTAAGTCTGTATCTGAGACCATCTGGAAGCACAAGCAGCCGACGTTTGGGTCATAACTCAAGACTTTGGTCTTAAGTTAAAGCTAAAATTCTGATCTTAATCCAAGTTGTTCGTATGTCAGGCTGGTCATAACTCGAGGGTCCACTGTACCTGTAGAGCAAATTACAAATAAATTACAAATAAATGATGAAACATTTTGAAACATGGCTTATACCTAATGCCTTTTCTCAGACTTCCCAACTCGACTGAGGAATTTCTTTGCTTTCATATTTTGTTTCCTTTCACTCTTACTAAAAAGAATACTTCTCCAGAGCAGAATGTGGTAACACGTACCTGTAATCCCAGCTACTTAGGAGACTGAGGCAGGAGTCTCTAAAGCCATCCTGGGCAACTTAGCAAGACCCCGTCTCAAAATAAAATTCAAAAGGTATTGGAGATGTACCTCCGTGATGGAGTGCTTACCTACCATGGGTGAGTCCTGGATCCAATCTCCAGCCCAGATCAGCCCTCATTTTGCTACGATTAGAGCTATGGTGATGGACTGGATGCTGTTTAGGCTGCCCACTGTCAGTAAATTTCTCCTGCCTGCAGCTTGAGAATGTGTTAAATTGAATAACAAACTGGGATGACTTAAACATCAGAAGTTTATTGTCTATAGTTCCACAGTCCACAATCAAGATATGAGCAGGGTTGGTTCCTTCCAAGGGCTATGAGGACTAATCAGTTCCATGCCTGTTGTAGCTTCTGGTGGTGTGGAGGCATCTTTGGGATTCCTTCCTTTGCAGAAGATACTGCCCAGTCTCCGCCTTTATC